CTCAGGATCTCTGGAAGAGCAGTCAAATGCTCTTAACCTCTGAGCCAGCTCTCCAGCCCCATATATATCATTGATTGGCTTTCTCTGGACCATCTCCCATGTATGTGTATATTCTGGGGATTGAATTCAAGGCTTTAGCTGGGCATGATGGCTCACATCTGTTTTCACAGTACTAATGAGGCTGGAAAATGAAGACTGCCTCATGTTCAAAGTCAGCCTGAGGTCTATATTCAGTTCCAAGCCACCCTAAATTAAAGTTAAATCCTATCTCAAACAAAGCAAAATATGAATTAATGGCTCGGTGTATACTAAGAACATGTTTACCAATTAGAAACAATCCCAAGAACTCTAAATATGGAATGCCTGTACATGGTACAGAAGAAAAATTCTGAATTTGAAGCTAGTCTGGTCTATACAGCAAGTTTCTGATCAATCAGAACTACACATCGAGACCCTGTCTCATTAAATAAAATAAAATGTCGGGCAGTGGTGGCATACACTTTTAATCCCAGCGCTCAAAGGTAGAGGCAGGCAGATCTCTGTGAGAGAGTTCCAGGACAGCCAGGGATACACAGAGAAACCCTGTCTTGAAAAACAACAATGACGACAACAGAAAAAGCCCACATATGTAAAATGAACTGACAAGATGGCTCAGCAGGTAAAAGCGCTGGCTACCAAGTCTAACAACTTGAGTTCAAACACTGGGTCCCACATGATGGGAGAGAACTGACTTCCACAAGTTGTCATTTGAATGCTACATATAGGCCACAGCACACATGCACACACAATAAACAAATAAATGGAATAATAAAAAAATTTTAAAAATTATAACCCATCATGATGACACGTGCTTATAAATTCCAGCACTCTAGAGCCTGATGCTAGAAGTCTGCCTGGCTTAAAGAGGAAGACCCTGTCCTGGCTCCAATCTCCACTCCCTAAAAGACAGGGAGGAATCCTAGCACTTGGAGGGTGGAGAAAAGATTACAAGTTCAAGGTCATCCTCAGTTAGCACAGCACCTAGCCCAAGCCCCAGAAATCTAAATAAAGGACCTCCTGGAACAGAGAAAAGAATGGTAAGAGCAGCACAGGTAGGTGGGTAACAGGGAAACATCACCAAGAGGAGTGGGGGTAGCGGCCCCACAGCATCCTTACCATGCCGGAGCCGCCACAGTAGTGGCAATGCTGCACTTTGGTTCCAGGCTCATTCCCCTTGCCGCCACAGCGCTCACAGGTATCCATGATGTCCACAGTGAACTCCTTGTTGACACCCTTGGCAGCTTGATTGAAGGTCAATTCCATGATGTACTGAAAGGTATGGGCTGTCACTCTGCTGTTTTGGGACAGGAGGGCCCTGGCCAGTACCTGTAGTTACTCCATAACTACCAAACACACGCACATGTATACTCAGCAAGACTAGGTGCTATTGCCGGTGATGGTGGGGCACACGCATTTAACCCCAGCACTCGGGAGGCAGAGGCAGACAGATCTCTGTGAGTTCAAGGCGAGTTTCAGGACAGGTTCCAAGGCTACAGAGAAATCCTATCTTGAAAAAAAAAATAGGTGCTATTCACTTAGCTGATCCAGCTTTACATATTCGGATTTTAAAATGTATTAAGTGAAAATTTATTCTTCAAGAGCTGAAGACAGGACTAATATCTGCATGTGGCATTTGCTTTGCCTAAATCTAGAATATCTCCCAAGGGCCCAGGCTTGGTTTCCATCTTAGTACAGCGTCTGGAAGGCAGTGGATCTTGAAGCGGTGTGGTCTGGTGAGAGATCTTATGTCATCAAAGAGATTTGGGTGCCAGTCTGCACTCCTTCCCTCCACAGCCAGGATCAGATGAGCAGCTCTGCTTTCCCACACTCCCCGCCATTCTATATGGTCTTACCCAGGCCCTGAAACAGTGGGACCAGCAGACCATTCATTCAAATCTCTAAAATCATAAACCAAAAGAACCTTTCCACTTGATTTTATTTTGTTTTGCCTATATGTATATGCACCACATGTGTACCTACTGCCCAAGGAGAAGAGAAGAAAGTAGGCTCCCTGAACTTGAGTTACAGTTTTTCGTCACCATAGGGTGACAGGAACTCAAGTTGGGTCCTCTTGCATTCAGCCGATCTCCTTTCAAATGACCCAGGTCTCTTGTGTGTTCTTTCAATCTCCAGGCCCTTGCCTGGCTCGCGTACGGTCGTATGGTATGGAGGGGGTAACACAGAATCGGGTGTTACAAGACCCTTTCTCAAAAACACAAAAATAAATTTAAAAATAAAGAAAGAACTTACTTCCTGAGGCTGATCAAACACAGTCTGGAAATCTCCAAAAGGAGATGATGAGAACTCCCCAAAGATCTTCCTGAATAGCTCCTCCGGGTCAACAGAGGGCCCTCCTCTCCACTGGCTCTGCCCAGAGCTGCTGGCTCCAGGATCAAAGCCAGCAGAGCCATAAGTATCATAATGCTTCCTCTTTGCTTCATCAGCCAACACCTACAGTGAAAGATGACACAGCAATCAGGCATTTCTGGGTCTTCTAAGGCTCAGGTACACAGACAATAGCTCACGCCACATTTACGAAGTGGTCTTTTTTTTAATTTTTAATTTATTTATTTATTATGGATATAACATTCTGCCTGTATGTATGCCTGAACACCGTAAGAGGACACCGGATCTCATAACAGATGGTTGTGAACCACCATCAGGGCCTCTGGAAGAGCAGTCAGTGCTCTTAACTGCTGAGTCCTCTCTCCAGCCCCCTTACTAAGTAGTCTTATGTGCAAAACATTCTACAAAAGCCAGGCATTATGGGTGGTGAATGGCTGTAATCCCAGCCAATCAGAAGGTTAAAGCAAGGAGATGAGTTTTCAGATAGTCTGGGCTGCACAGTGATACCCTGTTTCAACAAAAACCAAAATCACATTGGATCTCAGTGGTGCAGCATTTGTTAAGCATGCATATAGCCCTGGGTTCAGTCCTCAGGGCAATAACAACAGAAAAATAAAAAAATGTAAAAATTAGTTGAGTAGTGGTGGTGCATGTCTTTAATCCCAGCGCTCAAGAGGCAGAGGCAGGCAGGTGGATCTCTGTGGAGGGCCGCAACCACATTCTCCATTGCTTCAAGGGACAGGTAGAGATTGACCTCTGTGACCTCAAGGTGTGGTGGGACACGCCTTTAGTCCCAATGCCTGGGAGGCAGAGACAGGCAGATCTCTGTGAGTTCAAGGTGTTGTAGCACACGCCTTTAATCCCAGCACTGGGGAAGCAGAGACAGTGGGACTATAATGTGCATGTGCTTGGTAACTTTCCACTGCTGCGTCCCTGCCTACTCCCGAGGCGTCATCTGGGTTGATGGGCAGCGGACCAATCCAAGAGTGACACGTCCGAAGCGAGGACTGTTTCCTATACAAGGGATGGGTTCCCCTCATTCTGGGTCTCCGCTTTGGAAGCTTATGCTCTCTCTCTCAAGACGCATTAAAGCTTTGCTGCAGAAGGATCCTAAGTGTCCCGCGTCGTTCTTGCGGGCGAGACAGTAGCGCGGGACAGATCTCCATGACTTCGAGGCCAGCTTGGTTTACAAAAGCTAGTTCCAGGACAGCTAGAGCTGTTACACAGAGAAACCCTATCTCGAAAAACCAAAAAAGCCAGTCATGAGCTACCATGCTTGGCTTTTCTTCAGCCTTTGAATGCACACTGGTATCAGCCACTCTCAGATATTCAGGCCTGCAGCCCCAGACCAGGCTGCTATCACTGGCCTCCCATTCAGAGGCTTCCAGCTTCTTACACGGAGCAGCCACCAGTTTCTCTGATGTTACAACCTACAGGTTGTCAATGTGGGACTCCTCAGCAGATGATCTTTTTCACAAATAATTTTTATGAGCCTGGCATGAAGACTCGTGTCTTTAATCCCAGCACCCGGGAAGCAGGGGCAGGCAGATTTCTCTGAGTTCAAGGTCAGCCTGTATACAAAGTTCCAGGGCAGCCAGGGCAGTTACACAGAAAAAACCTGTTGTGAAATATTAGCTTAAGATATGCTACATTTGTTTATTCTATGGAATATTTGTTTAATGATGATTTTGTTTAACTCAGTGAAGCTATGCTACTTTGCCTGCCTAAAACACCTGATTAATAAAGACCCGAATGGCCAATAGCAAGGCAGAAGAAAGAAATAGGCAGGGCTGCCAGGCAGAGAGAATAAATAGGAGAAAAAAATCCGGACTGGGGTAGAGAAGGGGAGGTATAAGAAAAGAAGAGGACGACATCAGGGACTAGTCAGCCAGCCACACAACCAGTCACGGAGTAAGAAGGGAATAAAGACATATATAGAAATAAAGAAAGGTAAATAGCCCAGAGACAAAACATAGAAGAGAAACGGGTTAATTTAAGTTAGAAAAACTGACTAGAAACTGGGTAACACCAGGCTTTCACAAGTAAGAATAAGTATCGGTGTATTTATTTTATTTGGGAGCTGGGTGGTGGGCCGCCAAAGAACAAAACAAACAAAAACCCAACAACTACAAAACCCTGTCTTGAAAAATATAATAATAATTTATATTTTATTTTATGGGTACTTTGTCTACATGTATGTCTACATACCACTTGTGTGCCTGATGCTCTCAGAAGTCAGAAGAGGGCATTGGATCTCTTAAAACTGAAATTATAAGCCAGGCGGTAGTGGCACACGCCTTTAATCCCTGCACTCGGGAGGCAGAGGCAGGTGAATCTCTCGTGAGTTTGAGGCCAGCCTGGTCTACAAGAGCTACTTCCAGGCTCCAAAGCTACAGAGAAACCCCATCTCGAAAAACCAAAAATAAATAAATAAATAAACTTGGAGTGTTATAGGTGGTTGTGAGTTGCCATGTGGGTGCTAGGATTGAACCTGAGTCCTCTAAGTTACCAATGCTCTTAACTAATGAGTCATCTCCACAGCACTCTGTCCCCCTGCAGCTGATCTAAAGAGCTAATTTAATAAATCTCTTATGATTACATATATCCTATTAGATTAGCAGGGGATAAAACCTTCATACCTCTGAGTTGTGACTCTTTTTATAAGTGTGATGGAGGAGGGTTATCTGTCTATTGTGTTATTTTCATTGGTCAATAAAGAGACTGCCTTGGCCCCTTGATAGGACAAAAAATTAGGTAGGCGGAGTAAACAGAACAGAATGCTGGGAAGAGGGCTATGAGGCAGACGCCATGGAGCCAGCCACCAGGTCAGACATGCTGAATCTTTCCCGGTAAGCCACACCTCGTGGTGTGATACAGATTATTAGAAATGGGTTAATATCAAGATATGAGAGTTAGTCAGTAACTAACTCTCTAGAGATAATGGGCCCGGCAGTGCTTAAATGAATACAATTTGTGTGTTGTTATTTTCGGGGCTAAGCTAGCCGTGCGGAAGCCGGGCAGGATGAAAAGCAGGCCTGCCCGCAACCCGTCACTACATAAGTGGACATCTAGTTCCTTGAACATATAAACTCTTGACATATGCAGAACCCCTAGAGTCAATCAAGTCCAAGAGGAATGGTGTGGTGGCCAGAATGAAAGCGGCCTCATAGGGTCATAGGGAGTGGCGCTATTAGGAGGTGTGGCCTTGTTGGAGAAAGTGTGTCACTGGGGGTGAGCTTTGAGGTTTCAGAAGCTCAAGACAGGCCCAGTGTCGCTCTCTCTTCCTGTCACCTTCCAATCCAGATGTAGAACTCTCAGCTACCTCTCCAGCACTATGTCTGCCTGTGTGTCACCATGCTTCCTGCCATGAGAATGGACTAAACCTCTGAACCTATAAGCCAACTCCAATTAAATGTTTTCCTTTAAAAGAGTTCCCATGGTCATAATGTTGCTTCACAGTAATAAAACCCTAACTAAAACAAATGGCCATTCTCTAATAACTCTGTAATTGGTCAGTGGCTCTTTCACAGACACATGTTTTTCTGTATTTTTATATGGTACTCTACTTTTAGAATTGCTACCAAATAGTTGCTAAGTCTAACTGGGATGTCTCAAGATCAGCTATCAATATGAATTACCTAAGGAGCTTCACTGATACAGACGAACCCTGTTCCTGGTTTTGTACTGAGATGGGCTGTGTAGCCCTGGCTGCCCTTAAACTTGCAGAAATTCTCCTACCTCAGTCTCACCAGTGATAGAATTACAGATATACCACCACTCCTGGTCTCTTCTTTTTTAAAAATTATATCTATTTATTTTGTGTACATGTGTGAGTATTTGAATGTCATGGCACTCAGGTGGAGGTCAGAGACAATCTGTGAAAGATACTTCTCTCTGTCCACCATGTGGGTACTGGGGATTGAACTCGGGTCATCCGATTTGGCAGCAGATCCATACACCCACTGACCCACCTCACCAGCCTTGTTTCTGCATTGAGGTTCTAATTTAGCAGAACTAGCATAAGACTTCAGCGGGGACAGACTGAACCAGACAACACGGCAAGTTGTTACCTCGTATGCTTCTGCCACTTTGGTAAACTTTTCCTTGGCTTTGGGATCATCCTGGTTTGAGTCCGGGTGATATTTCTTGGCAAGCTAAGGGGAAGAAAGTACATTACTATAGATTGAGAGCAGAACCCAAATACTTGCCATAGTTATGACTCTTTACAGCATTTGTTTCTCTTAAGAGAGCAAAAAATTCTTTTGTCTGTTTTCAAAACAGGGTTTCTCTGGATAGCCCTGGCTGTCCTAGAACTCACTCTGAAGACCAGGCTGGCCTCGAACTCGAGAATCTGCCATCTCTGCCTCCCGAGTGCTGGGATTAAAGGCATGTGCCACCACTGTCCGGTGCAACATTTTGGTGTTTCTTTTTTTTTTTTTTTTTGAGACAATGATTCTCTGTAGCTTTGGCGCCTAGAACTCGCTCTTGTACACCAGGCTGTCCTCGAACTCACAGAAATTCACCTGCCTCTGCCTCCTGAGTGCTGGGGTTAAACACCGCCCGGCTTTTTTTTTCCCAATAAATCATTTTTTTTAAAGACAGATTTAATTATTTATTTATTTATTTAGCAGTGTTCTGCCTGCATACCAGAAGAGGGCACCAGATCTCATTACAGATGGCTGTGAGGCACCATGTGGTTGCAGGTAATTGAACTCAGGACCTCTAGAAGGGCAGTCAATGCTCTTACCCACTGAGCCATCTCTCTAGTCCCAGTGCAACAAATTCTATTTATTTATTTATTATGTATATAATATTCTGTCTGTGTGTCTGCCTGCAGGCCAGAAGAGGGCATCAGATCAGATGGTTGTGAGCCACCATGTGGTTGCTGGGAATTGAACTCAGGACCTTTGGAGGAGCAGGCAATGCTCTTAACGGCTGAGCCATCTCTCCAGCCCAGTGCAACGAATTCTTAAAACGAGATTTAAAACTTGAAATTAAATCATTCTTTTAGAGATCTACATATTTCTCATCTACCAGAAATCTTTCCAAAAATAGTTAACTAAGATCTGGAGAGATGGCTCAGTGATGAAAAGCATTTAACACTCTTGCAAAGAACTGAATTTGGCTCCCAGGACCCATATAACACCTCACAGCTGTCTAAAACTCCAGTTTCCAGAGATTTGATGCCCTCTTGTGACCTCAGAAGGCACCAAGCATACATGCAGTACACATACATACATGAGGCAAATACACATGCACAGAAATTAAATCTTAAAAAAAAAAAAAAGTTGACTATCCGGGAAATGATGGCCCACACCTTTAATCCCAGCGATCAGCCTAGTCTACAGAGTGAGTTCAAAGACAGTCAGGGCTACAGGGGAAAACCTGATTTAAAAAGAAAAGAAAAGAAAACAAAACAACTAACAAACAAAAAACAGCATTAACTGATACTACATAGTATACCAAAGGCACCCAGCACTTCATTTTTCTCAGATAACTCCAAAGGATCAGCTGCTCGTGACCTGCCTAACACCAAGTCAATAGGGACCAGATAAGATGGTCTGGGCTGAAGAGATGGACTGAACAGCAATCAGTGCTAAGAACACACACTTCTTTCCCAGAAAATTTGAATTTAAATCCTAGACATGGCAGATGGTTCACAGCTGCCTATAATTATAGTCCCAAGGGAATCCAATACCTCTGTTTTTTGTTTTTGTTTTTCAAGACAGGGTTTTCTCTGTGTAGCCTTGACTGTCCTGGAACTCTGTAGACCAGGCTGGCCTCAAACTCAAGAGATTTGCCTGCCTCTGCTTTCTGAGTGCTGGGATTAAAGGTGTGCACCACCACCGCCTGGCAACCAGTGCCCTCTGTAAACACCTACATTCTTGTGCACATGTTTATACGCAGACACATACCACAATTTTAAAAATTAAAATAGACACACATATATATTAAGATCACCAGCAATCTTTCTACAAACTTGTCAGTCAATCTGAGATCAATACAGACCTTAAGATAGGCATTTCTGATATCTTTCCGGTTGGCATTTCGGGGCACTCCTAATATCTGGTAATAATCTTCGGCCAAGGAAGCGCTTGTGTGGAAGGAAGCGGTACAAACAAAAGGGAAACTTTTTGTTCCTGGAAATGAAACAAGAAAGTCAGTCTGGGAATTTGTCCAACAAGAGGAAATTATAAATGAGCAACTATGGAATACCTGTGAAAGATCAAATAAGCCTCGGCGATAGGGTCTGTTCCTTTCTGAGTATACTAGAGGCCAAACTCAATGAGCTTCAAATGAGGGCACAGCTTGGGGATATAGTTCAGTAGATACATTGTTTACCAGGCATGCACAGGGCCCTGAGCTTGATTCCCAGCACTGAAAAAAACTCAGCATAATGGTGCATGGTGAGCACATACCCATAATCCTAGCATTAGGGAAAAGGAAGCAGATGATCAGAAGTTCAATTCACAGCTACATAGGAAGCTTTAGGACAGCCTGAAATCCATGACACCCTGTTTCCAATTAAAAACAGAAACACAGCCGGGTGGTGGATTCTTAGTCAGCCTATATTCAGCCTCCTCTTTACTTGATAGCAGCCTGGCTGGTCCTTCCCCTGCATAGAGGATGAGTCTATCAGTGGCAGAAGTTTGGCTGTGAAAGCAGCTCCAACAACTGCAGCAGAGAACTTACATAAAACTGTGTAGATAACCACAGGACTATACAAGGTGGATGTCTTTGAAATCCTAATGGCTAACAACATTAGGCAGAATTTGTTTAGTTAACTCTTTGGTTTCTGTTGTTGCTTTATCCAAGACACGTCCAGTAAATGTCTTGCTTTTTGTGAACCCAGGATTATTTTCCATGTTGTTTCAAGAATGCCCAATGTAAGTAGCAAGTTACTGTTTTCTTTTGCTTGGAAGATTTTTATGTCATCTGATTTCATAAACCAAGCTTGAGAAATGACCACAGATTAAAATTCCGGGGCAGAATTGATGACCTTAGATGTGGTATTAGGACACACATTGAGGGATGCCACTTCCACAAGTGGAATCCCTTGAGATAAAATATGTCCACTGTAGCCTACGGGCTGACTTAACGAACTCAAACTGAAGTTCTTTAGTTCTGTTTTCATATAGAAGTAATACTTAGTGCCTGTCTATGTCTCTATGTCTCTTTCAAGCAAAGACACAATTTTAAAAAAAACTTCAAGGCTCTATGTTTGGTCCCTGGAACCACTACAAAACTAAGAGTTCAATACTTGCTTCCTTCATCCTCACTGAAGCGGTGAACACAGTATAAGGAACTATGAGGCCAGGTGGTAGGGGTGCACACCTTTAGTCCCAGCACTGAGGAGACAGAAGCAGTCCAAGCTCTGTGAGTTTGAGGCCAGCCTGGTCTACAGAGTGAGTTCCCAGACAAGCTAGAGGACTAGAGAGATGGTTTAACAGTTAGGAGCACATTCCACTGTTGCAGAGGACACAAGCTCAATTCCTAGCTCCTAGGAATAGCAGCTCATTTATTGCCTGGAACAAGCTCTTTTTCCATATATAAGACTCAAATAATTCTTAAGATTTTTTTTTTTAAAGAGAAAGATTGATCTGCTGATCATGGCCAAAGCACTTCAAGGCTTAATGCACACTGATTTGGTATTTTCTCCAGCAATAAGGAAAGTAAGTGCCACGACAAAACTACCACTTTCCTGCTCTGTAACTTTTTCAAGTTCTTTAACATCTAAGCCTGTTTCTCCATAAAATGGAAGGGTAAGCCAGGTAGTGCACGCCTTTAATTCCAGCACTCAGGAGGAAGAGGCAGCAGGATATATGTGAGTTCAAGGCCAGTCTGGTCTACAGAACGAGTTCCAGGACAGGCTCCAAAGCTACAGAGAAATCCTGTCTCGGGGAGGAAAGAAAAAAAAGGAAGGGTAACTATGCCTGTTACATGAAATATTCTAAAAAACATACTTCATACACACTAAGTGTTCAATTAATTTTAGACTGCATTATTACAGGATTCTAAAAAAGACTGATATGTCCTCCATTTACATCACGTGATGTTAGGGATGCAAACTGTGAAATGCCAATACATGATACTTTCTGACCTTAGTGAAGACAAACACCTGCATCTCCCCAGATTCTAGGTGCCTAGCACTCACTGAACGGCAGTTGCCTCCACTACAAGCTAGAAAGTGAAGAAAAAGAGAAGGAATAGGGCAAGGGAGCAGCGGCCTGGACAGAGAGGCGCATGTTGACAGAGGTGAAGGTTCACGGCTTTCGGGGCGTTTCACCACCTCCGGCTCCACGCAGGTCTTTACCATCGACGGCTTCTGGGTAGCCCGCACCTTGGCCTCTCTGCCCCCTGCTTGCCTGTGTCCCCAGCAATTCCTCTCTCGATCGGGAAGATACCTCCATCCCGCTACCCTGGTCGTCAGAGCGAGGCGCGTCGCCCTTTCTAGTCCCAGGAGCCGCTATCTGGAAGCCTCCCTCACCTGTGAGGCGGACACCCGGTCTCAATGTCAGCAGCGCCCGGGGGCCGTGACCGCTCATGGAAAGCCCGAAGGCATAGGTGCTCAGCTTGCGACCCAGCGATGTTGCCACTATGCCGCCCCGGGGCTGCTGGACCCCTCTCCCCGCTGCAGCCGGCAGCCGGGGGATTCCCACGGCCACCAGCAACCAGCGTGGAGAACACCGCGCAGCCATCTTGACCCAGGGACACTGCGCCTGCGCGCGCTAAGCCTGTCACGTCTTCCGGAGGCGAGGCATCAGCAGCAGGCTGGGCGCGAGCAGTGCGTATGCACCGTCTGCTCCGAAGGGTTGTGCTCGCGTGTAATTGCTTTGCTCCGAGGACGTCATCTTGTATGTTTCCCCTGTATTGGGATTTCTGTGATGTACGACTGAATGCTGCATTTTACTTGTGAGTGATGTATAGCTGTTGTAATCGTCCAGCGAGTCTTGTCCTGGGAGAAACTACAAATCCCATCAGACCACGCGGCGTCAGTATCGCAGATTCCGGCTCGCTGCTTGCGGCTGATTTACCTTGACCCTGAAAATTACGTTTTATTGCGTGTTCTCTCAGAAAGTCTCCACCCCCGTTTTATGTTGCAGGTTTTCTGTGTCTGATTATGTCACAGCAGAACTTGAAGCATTCAGCTCCGTCTTAAGTACGTTAGCCTTCTCCAAAGCTGTAGCAAGAATTTCATAGAGTATTGTGAATGACTGTTAAGTATCACACACTTAGTTATCCACTAACTAAGTGGATAGAATATGTTATCTAGAATATGTTAGCGCAGACCCGCTCTAAGGAACAAACTCACTTCACAGGAACAGACTTCTTATGAAGTAACACTGATAAGTGCTACCAGCTATAGGAACACTGCTATGAGCATACCAGTGTCCTCGATCTGATTCTCAAACGTATAGGGCGGGGGAGGAGGGAAGGATTGGGGAGAAAGTTAAACTTCCTATAATGGTCTGTCCTGTCCCTTTAAGAGACAGGCCCCGCCCACCCCCTCCCGTCTTCTGAGGCAAGCTGATTTTAGAATTCCAGCCTGAGCTTCCTTCCCATTTCTCTCCCTTCTCCCCTTTTTTACTTCTCTCGCCCTTTTCACCTTTCATCCTCCACCCCCCTCCCTCCCTCCCCCCCCCCCCCCCCGTCCCTTTCTCCCTCCGCTTTTCCCCTTACTTCTTTCCAGTCTCCTCCATAACCCACGGAATAAATATCCAACCTGACTCTGCATGGCGTACCTGTCCATGTCTCTGTCTCTTACCCGATGCGTGGCTCACTGCCTGGGACTTGCTGCTCCCTGCCTCTGCCCCTCGTGGCCCATAGGCCACTCACGGAACAGCGCCATCTTACTTTTACCATAACACTTCCTGAGCCACCGATGCGGAAATCACCATGTCACAGAATGCAGCTACTGCAGAGACTGTTAACACTCTTGCTGCCCGTGTTATCCAGGCCTTAGAGACTCAAAATACCATTGACTCACATATTCAATTGGGGATGTTAAATTTAAATCAGCAAACAGCCTTATTGCAGGAACAGATTAATGTGTTGTGGATGGTGCAACAAGCCTCTTGTTCTCATTTTTATCATTCTGCCTGTGTGACCCTTATGGAAGTGAAAAATATGTCCTTTGAGGTGCAACGCCTTAATGCTTACCTTAGGGGGCCTTGGAATGATTCCTTTGTAAACTTTACCCACTCTTTGGTACATCAAATTATTGCAATTAATGAAACTCGTGTTAAACCTGTATCTGCTGAGGGATGGTGGAATACCATGGCCCAGATTGAGGGCTGGGCACAGTGATGGGGAGGTGCCTTGTCCCTGGGGATCTTGGGACTAGTAGGGGTGGCAGTAGGCCTGCTCCTCTTAAAACGAATCCTAAACACCTTCACCATGACTGAGCTTGTCCACCGTCAGGTGTTACTCAGTCTGGCCCATGACCCGGAAGTCAGGAGGTATGGCTGTAGATGCTGAAAAAATGAGGATCTCCAAGGACGGGCAACCTGTGAGGAGACCCCCACCTAAAACAGGGCATTGGGGGCCCTATGACGGGTAAGGGAAGGTACTTCCCTCGCAGGACCTAAGATAGGACCCCTCATTATAAAATAAAGTAGGGGGAATTGTGGGAATTGCTGCCCCGAGTTATATTTCCCTGCCCCCATTTGAGATGCTTATCTGCAAAGAAAATATGACTTCCCTCTGCTCCTGGAGTTGGGTAAGGAAGTTTGAGTGCACATGATCATTCCTTGATCCCTGCTGGGGTCAGGTGACAGTCCCTACCAGGGTCAGGTGACAGTCCCTTTGCAGCCCACTCCTCTTTTGGTGCCCTGGTATAAAAGCCCCAGCAGAACAACAAACAAGCTGAAGCTGTTCCACCTCAACCTTGTGCTCTGTGGATTCATTCAACCTGGACACCCTCCGCAGAGACTCGTGCAGACTCGTGGTTCCAGCCCGTGCAGGCACGGCACATAGCTGAACTTTGATGAACAGTGCATCAAGTACAGATGGAGTGTTCCAAGTGGCAAGAGCATCAGATGCTGCCAGACATTGTAGCACACACCTGTAATACCATCAACCTGAGAGACAGAGGTAGGAGGATCAGGAGCTCAAGGTCATGTTCAGCTATATAGCAAATTCGAGACAGTCTGGGCTACGGGAGACCCTATCTCAGAAAACAAAGGAAAAAATTGTTAGGTCCAAAGGAGACGCCAATTCCTTAAACTCCAACGACAGTGCAAATATCCAAAAATGGACTCAAACTGACTAGAGGAGGAGCTCTGGTGGTTAGATAAAAGCCAGCAAGCTCGTTGGTGGGTGCTTCACACAGATAATCCCAGTGCTGGGGAGACAGAGACAGGCAGATCTCTGTGTTCTACGACAGAGCAAGTTCTAGAAACTACACAGAGAAACCTTGCCTTAAAAAGGCAAAAACAAAATAAGAACAGATACTAAGCCAGCATCCCTCAGGAACTTGTGAAGCCTGTTCCCCTCTATCACTGGCAGAAGGGACATTGGCAGAAGGGACACATGGCTCCCTGTGGCGCCTCCAGGCTCCCTCTGTATCCCAAGTACCTGTTACACATTTCACAGTCCATGCTAGCGTCCTAGCCCTTCTCACCTCCTCCCCCACCCTGAAGTCCCCAGCTCATGGGCTTCCCTTCCTCAAGTTACTCATTCTTTTTTGTTTGTTTGTTATTTCAGGACAGGGTTTCTCTGTCGTTTTGGTGCCTATCCTGAAAATAGCTCTTGTAGACCAGGATGGCCTCGAATTCACAACACTCGGGAGGCAGAGGCAGGTGGATCTCTGTGAGTTCAATGCCAGCCTGGTCTACGAAGCAAGTTCTAGGACTGCCTCCATAGCTAGACTAGGCCTGCTTAGTTGTAAAAGTTAAATTTTCACCACCCTCCCAAATAACAGGAAGGGAACTGAGGGCTCGTGAATGGGTTTAGGATGATCCGTGGGCACACACACTGCCACTTTCTACTCCCAGCATTATACACAAAAATTGTGTGTATCTTACTCCAGGTAGATGTCCATAGCCTTCACCAGCCAAATTCTCAATGGATTCTGAGACTCAAAGGTTAAAACCAAGCAAAGAATAGTCCCAAACTGTTGTAAAATGAGAGACCCTTGGAGAGTGTGCTCGAGTGGAAATCAGTACCATGAACAAAGAACACGGAGTGTAGCAAGGAAAAGGTACAAGGAGAGCGAAATGGGGGAAAGAATCTGCATACTGCATTCAGCAGAACTGTAAATGTCTGCAGCACAGTGTTCCCTGGACAGTGGTGGCACACCTTTAATCCCAGAGGCAGGTGGATCTCTGAGTTGGAGGCCAACCTGATCTACAGAGTGAGTTCCAGGACTTGAAGAGAAATTCTATCTTGAAAAACCAAAAAAAAAAAAAATGCTGTCAGTTCAGCTGTGGTTCTTTGTCAACTTCGTCTATCCTATACCTCCCAGGCTAATTGGGCTCAAGCAATCTTCCCACCCACCCTTGAAAACTGCTAAGATTCCAGATGCGTACTACTGAGCACAGCAAGAATTACTTTTATTCAAGCTAGAGAGATGATGGATCAGTAGTTAAGAGCTCTTACTGTTCTTCCAAATGCCTGAGTTTGACTTCTGTATCAAGAAGCGCTTGACACTTGACAACCTGTAACACAGCTCCAAGGATTGCAATGCCTCTTCTACAGGTATCTTCACACATGTAGTGCACATACAGGTGAATAAGAAGAAATACACACATGAATAAAAGTTCAGCAGTTAAGAACACTTGTTCTTGCAGAAGACCCAGGTTTGATCCTCAGCACCCACATGACAGCTCACCGACTGTCCATATCTCTAATGCCAGAGGATCCCTGACAATTCTAACTCAGATTCTCATGTTTGCATAGCAAGCACAATTACCCACGGAGCCATCTTTCCAGCCTGCTCCCTCAACCCCCCCCCCCCCCTTTTTTTTTAAAATTTGGCTTTTTTGATATGGGGCTCTTTTAGTAGCTTAGTCTGTCTTGCAACTCACTATGGAACCCTAGCTGGTCTCAAACCTGGTTGTGGTGGCACACATCTATACTCCCAACCCTCAGGAGGCAGAAGTAGGCAGATCTCTGAGTTCGAGGCCAGCCTGGTCTACAGAGCTAGTTCTAGGACAGTCAGCACTACACAGAGAAAAAAACCTCTACGAGCACTATGCCTCGAAAAAACAAAAAACAGAGAGAGGAGGAAGAGAGAGAAAGATATCATATATATATATATCATATATATATATATATATGATATATATATATAGGAGAGAGAGAGAGAGAGAGATTACGGTAAAGAATTCTTAGTAGTCCTTATCTCTTCAGCCTGCCTTTTCCATTGCAAGTTCTCGACCCAACATGTGGAAGACCTGGTGTGACAAAATCTGCCTTCTTGATTCTGCTTCACGTTTATGAGGCCGGCTGCTTATCCTCCGTTTCTAGTCTAGTAAATTCTGTCCTGCTATTCGAGGAAGTAGATAGTGGGACAGACTGCACGCAGGTCATTGAAAAGCTTCAGGGACGAGTCCAGCAAGTCTAATCCCAGGACTACAGAAGTGTGGTCTCTAAAGCAGGAGGACAGCGGCGGCTCACGTGACCTCCTACTGGCGCTGTGGTCCCTCAGGCATCAGGGCGTGATTTCTCAGGACAGCTATTGGCTGAGAGGTGGGGCTGGCGGCGTCCGCACGGAAGAAGGGCGATGCGGGGG